TGGTGGCTTTGCTGTGTTATTTAAAGTGTTTCATGAACAAGTTTCAATGGATTGGCCTTCCTGTATTTTCTGTAGCTTCTGTTATGGTTAGGTGTTGAATATTTCTGCTCCTACTGTTTTCACTTCTCCCAAGGGGAAGGAGTACAAGACATGGGAGTATAAAATCCAGTTTCCCCGCTTGAAGTTGGAGAAGCTGCTTGTTGCCTGGTTGCCCAAGAGTTTACGCCCCTGTGGCTAACAGCATCCTCATCCCTCGAGGGGGCTGCCAAACCTCATGTAAACTCTACAGAGATGAGAGGCCTCCTTGAGCTTGAGATTTTTGCAGATTTCTTGAAAATGAGCAGCTAGGCAGCAGGACAGACCCAATTTGGGCAATTGCCAACCGTATGAAATTTAACAAGAGCAAGGGCAGGATTCTGCACCTGGGATGGGATAATTATGGTTATACATTCAAACAGGGGACTAGAGGCTGGAGAGCAGCCTCCCATGGAAAGAGACCTGGGGGTTTGGGTTGACAGCAAGTTGAACGGTGTGCCCTGGTGGCCAAAAAGGCCAACCATGTCCTGGGGTGCATGAAGCACATGATAACTAGCCAGTTGAGGGAGGCGATTGTTGCATGCTACGCTGCACTGGTGCAGCCCCACCTTGATTACCGCATGCATTTTGGGGCATCTCAGTATAAGAAGGACATCAAATGGTTGGACTCAATGATCTTAAGGGTCTTTTCCAACCTAAACGATTCTACAAAACTACTAGAGTGCATCTAGAGGAGAGTGACCAAGATGGTGAAAGGCCTCGAGGGCAAGACTTATGAGGAGCAGCTGAAGTCACTTGGTTTGTTCAGCTTGGAGAAGAGAAGGCTGAGGGGTGACCTCATCATGGCCTACAACTTCCTCAAGGGGGCTAGCAAAGGAGGAGGTGCTGATCCCCTCTCTCTGGTGACCAGTGATAGGACCCAAGGAAATGGAATGAAGCTGAGTCATGGGAAGTTCAGATTGGACATTAGGAAAAGGCTCTTCACTGAGAGGGTGGTTGGTCACTGGAACAGGGTCCCTAGGGCAGTGGTCACAGCACCAGGCCTGTCAAGTTCAAGTAGCATCTGGATGACGCTCTTAGTCATGTGGTTTAGTTTTAGGCAGTCCTGTGAGACACAGGGAGTTGGACTTAATGATCCTTATGGGTCTGTTCGAACTCAAGATGTTCTATGATTCTGTGATTGTAAATTAGTCAGCCACTGATGGAGTGGCAGGTAACATCCAGTGGTGCAACAGGGAAAAGCTGACCATGGCCACCTGGTCCGTAGAGCTGCAATTGGAAGATCAGCTGCAGCATGCAAGCTCTGCGGCACCCTGTGGTGCGCAGGGCACTGGGAAAGGAAGGAGGGAAGAAAGGAGGAGAGCACAGGCATTTTTAGAAGAACAAAATTCAAGCAGTCTGTTGCTCAAGTCAGAAAGTTATGTTTGTGGTGATTCATCACAAATATCTTTTCTTGGTGCGTCGCCATACACGTGACTAATGGAGGAACTTTCCAAAGCTCGTGTTGGCTTCTGCACTGGAATGTAAATACGACTAATCTAATACCGTAGCAGTAAGTGTCTGAGAGTGGTGATGGGTCTTTGCAAAGAACTACTGTTTGCTTAGTTACTTGCCTCTCTTGAATACCCTCTAGTTCATTGGCTTTTCAAAAGCTTATGTTTGCACTTTTGTTTTACCTGCTGGGTTTCCCCATCTCACACAAACTATGCAGGTTACTGGGGACAGCCTGCTGAAGATCTGTCTCTTGAGATCCTGGTATTTGAGCTACGGACATGGAAGAAAAATAGTGTAGACACTTCTGAAATGTTCTTGAACTTTTTTTTCTTGAACTAGCCCCTAGGAGCTAGTAATACCTGCTGTATTATGCTTTATGTGCAACATAGTATCTGCTTTATTTGCAATTATCTTTGCTTAGATGAAGCAAGTGCTCATAGGCTTGGTTACTCTGGGTGCTCCTTAAACCTGTAGGGAGTGCAGCGTATTCTTGCTGACTCTTTCTTCTTGGATCCTGATAATACCTTTATTCTGGTTCTGTAGCTTTGTCACTGTTGTCCTGATTGTTTCTTGCTAGTTGAATCCCTGGTACTGAGCCTCTCTCCTTTCAGGCTAAGTAATTGAACTTCTAGTTTAGTTGGATCCACCCATACTAAAAGCTGAGCGAGTACAGTTGTAAAAGCAAGTGCTTTAAAGACGTATGAAGGTTTGTAGTGAACAGTGGAGGAACATCCAGTCCTTGTTCGGGAAGCAGACTGCCGGCACTTCAGATTATTGTAATGAGTTTCATGAGCTAGGTTCTCACATTTTCTGCTACCATTATTGAGATAAAGTGTTTGAAGAGTGTTTGATCTTGCTGCATGCTTCAAAAATAGACTTGTGGTTGCAGAATATTGAACCATTCCAGTCAATATAGAAGGACTTTTTTTTTTTCTTTTGTTACGTCTCAAATTTGTTTGCAGCTGGAACTGTTCAGAGTTCTCGAACTAGGTTACGTGGTGGCAGTGGGAGACTTTTCAAATAGCCTCTTTTCCGCTCTAGGTAAAACTTCAGCTGCAACAAAGCATAATGTTGAGTATACGTGCTTGTTTTTCCCTCTGCTGCTCCTTGTAAAAAGAAATAGTGCTCTTGAAATATACCCACCAATGTAACGTTCATTGACTTAGTGATGTATCTTTAACCTTGTGACAGATGGTGTTAACAGATGGTGGTGGTCTATCCTCTAGTTGCTACTCTGGTAGGGTGTTTTGAGGAGCATGCATCTTTAACAGATCCTTCTGCCTGCCTTCTTAGAGTTAGACTAGAAAATATCTGATCAGGTCTGTCTCAGGCATTCCTCCCTGGAGGACTGTAGCCTGAGGGATGTATGTACTTGAGAAAACAAACAAACGAAATTCAAGTTTGAGGAACAATTACGCAAGCACCTGTTTGAATTCCTATTGAGTGTTTTGACCTTTTTTGTCTGTTAATAGGGAGGTTTCCTGGTGTAGTCTAAACAAAGGGGTAACTTCAGTGGTGACTGAGATTTGGGTCTTGGCAACTGCTCCTACTACTGAGGTTTTTAAGATTGTTTTGCAAGATGATGTAGGCCTCAGATAAACGGCCTGCAAATATTTTGCATTCTGTGTAACAGTTTTTCACAAGTTAAGTATCTGAAAGAGCTTATAGTCCCCACCTGGATTGAAGAACACCAAGTAAAGTATCTTCTTGCTTTCTATTCAAGATCTCTATGTAATAATTTTATCCAGGGGGTAATGCACTTTTCTCCTGCACTGCAATAAAGCCATGAATTGCCTCTGTTTCCATGAAGGTGCTGGTCACTGACCAGGCAGTTCCACATCCCTACTTGGCTGTGAGCAAGGTGGTGCTCAGTTCAAATATTACAGTATGGAAATCACTGCTTAGGCTTCAGATTTCATTTTCTGCTCTGGCAGTTCAGTTGGCCAAACTGAAGACTAGCTTGAAGGATGTTTTCAGGAAACTACAAGCTTTTTTTTTTTTTTTTTTTCTCCAGTTGTCATTCCTCGCTTCCATACTAAAAAACTGAAAATGTATCTTAGTCTCATTTCTTCTTTGGAAAAAATACGGCATTATTAGTGCAGTTATGTGAGAAGCAAAAGAGATTTCAATTTTGACCTCAGTTGAGATGAAAGATGTCACCAAGTATATGAGCATCTGTCATTGCTGTTACTAGACTCCTGAGTTGTTTTTGTCTTAGCTTGGCCTGTCATGTAAGCAGAAGGAACATTCTTCTTGTGGTTTGATTTTTTATGTTTTGTTTTGGTTTTCTTATTTATTTTATTCCTCTCTTCAGTCTTTGCAGTAGCCAGTTCTGATTCTTCTTCTGTAGATACGTTCTTTGAGGAAAAGCAGGCACATCAATGCTTTACGTCTGTATCTTCTGAATTAAGGTAGCTCTGGCTGGAACTGCATTCTGCTGTAGCTGGCTTGATACTCAGTAAACAGAAAAAGTTTTCCAGCTTCTTGGGGGCTGAAACATTATTTGGATGTCTTTTTCTTGAAAGCTGGTGTCTACTTTCATGCCTTTTTCCATGCTTCGGTGAAACGGAATAATGAACTATCAGAAATATTACAAGTAGTTGTTTTGGCTGTCCATTTATCTTACAAACCTCTGCTGCTGAGATCGCACTATATTCATGCTGTGAAACCAGTTTGTATCATGAATATATTGAGTTAGTGTGTTTGTGGTTGGCTGGGTAAGCAGCAGTAGCTCTAGCAACTGACCTAATACAGCAAGAGAGAATGTTCTTTCCTAAGGGCTGAAAATGAAGCTTAATCTACCTGGAGCGGAGAGCCCATAGTAGTGACAGCTGCATTTAGCTGTCCTTTAGGAAGTTGAAGAGACTGCTCAAGATCATCTGTGCTAATAACTTAACCATCTTCATATTGTTAATGTTTGCTAGGGGAAAAGATAAGCCCTATAAACCCGTGAAAATTAATTTTTAATGCCAAGGTATTAAATCCATTACTTGATCATATAGCTTTCATACAGGCCTTTGTGCTCCAAGGCTTTTCTTCACACTTGAATCTTGTAAATTCTTGTGAATTGGAGCTATGCTCCTGCTCATTTTGTGGGTCAGTGGAAAGAAGGCTGGGAAAGAATATGCTGTGGATGGCACTAAGAAAGCATGCAATAGCAGTGGCAAGAATAAAGGATTAAGTGCATTATATTGACTGTAAGAATATATGTTCTGGCCCTCTGGATCCTTTCTATAGAGACAATTTTTAGTGCTGTTCATTTTGTCTTTTTGAAGAGTTGTGTGGATGGTGGTCTGGAGAGATAGAGAAAAATGTCTGTCTTCAGCCCTGACTCAAAATATTCTTCTAGTCTGACGCAGGAAGCAGAAAACATAAATCAAGATAGATCAGAGGCATGTTTATGATTGTAATAAGTGTTGGTTTTGAGTAAGAAAAAACAACGTTCTTACTGTTGCTTTCATCTTTTACAGGCAATTTTGATGACTTCAACTTAGAAGATGCTTTTGGTAATTATTACACTCTTGCAAATTTTGGGAGGTAGGTGGGAGAATAGTGGCTGCTCTTGTTTCCCAGTATCGCTGCATGACCCAGCATGACACCTTCCCCACATACGGTTTGTTTAAACCTCAGGGAACAATTCAGCTATGGGTATGTCAAAATATTGACCACATAGAACTAAAATTTGTCTTTGGGAACATTCAGGGATTCCTCTTAAGGGGAAATGTCTTGCTGTATAGACTTGATCTTATGCTTTTCATCGTATAGACATAAGCTTACATTTGTCCTTCCTGTATGTTCTGAGTGGTGTATTAAATAGTATTTAAACTTTTTTTTCTAACCATCCCTGACAGTAACTACAAAGAAGCCTCTTCCGTCTCGGAAGCCACCACCATCAGATTTGGGTGAGATCTAAATGGCTTGTAATGCCTTTTACTGTGAAATCAAGTGTAGTTGTACATACTAACTTAAGAGCCTGAATTTTTGAATGTAGTGGCAACACAGAGTTGTGATACTGCTATAGAAGAAAGTAGTTCCCTAGCAGCAAAAGGGTTTCTGCATTTTGGTCTTCTGCTAGTGCTTTCACAAATTTACTTAGTGATTTCACAAGCTTAAAGACCCTGTGACAATCCCTCCAGTTGGCTTTCAGTCTGAATGTTTTGAGCTTACTCACCTTGACCTGGCCCTTGGTATGTACCATGGTCACCAAAGCAGCGTGTAGTTTGGCCCATAATGCCTGGTAACTGTGGTGCTCTTCCGTGGGCCGCTGTTGAATGAACATGCCATTGTATTCTTGGTGAAAACATTATGAGGTGTGTTTTGTGTAAAAAATAGGCTAAAACTAGTTCAGTGTTTGCATTATATTTAACATTTCTTTCTTCGTAGATGATTTCAGCTTAGAACATGCTCTTCATCCTGGTAAGCATCACGTTTTCCTGGATACTGCTCGGTGGTACTTGGTGCAATGTCTATCCATCCTTTGTTACCTATCACTGAGTTGATTTAAGGTAACAGACTGTAGATAAAAATAATTGCAGTCTAGTTATGTTATTTACCTTCATTTTTAAGGGTCTGGGATCACAAAAACTGTATGTATTTCACTCATTTCTTGGCCAAGTCCTACTCGTTTCATTGCAGTGTCTTCACTAGATGGCACTAATTCCATAAACTATTACTTATGGAAGTAGTTTTTAAATCTGAAGTAGTTTCATCCTTTCCAGAAAGTAATTTTAGTAGCACAAGGAAACATTAATCTGTTTGAAAGGTACTCTTTCTAATGTACTTCAGCTCTGCAGTGTAGGCAGCAGCAGAAATTGCAGTATTGTTTTCACTCAGCCAGTAAAAGGTGCATCTGATTAGGCAGATAACATACAGTAGCTTGTTGAGTACCATCACTAGATCTGTTGCAGTATCGACAGCTTTCCTAACACGGGGTGTGCAGTTGTATGACAGTAGCACTGTTTGCTGCTCTGTTTGATTTAGCCCTTTGAAGTTTTGTCTCTCTTAAAGCAGTCTGTTTCCAACTGCTGACATTTTTGAAAACAGAGTTGGCTAATTGAGAAACAGTTGGCTGAATGAATCAGTGAAGAGAGACATTCCTTCATAGGGTAGCAAGCCTAAGTTGGGGTCTTAGAACTCTGCTCTGGAGGTGCCTGCCTCTTTACTTTGAATATGCAGAGAGCCAAAGGAGTCAAGGATCTGACTTGTGCTAGAGCTGGGGGGAGGCAAGACCATGCAACATCAAGGTGAAGTAGCATACAGAAGAAATGGGCCACTGGATCGGTTCAGCTATTGGTGAAAACACAGTTTTAGAAAAACAATGCCAATGTGCTAATTTGATGTGGGCAACAAAGACTGTGACCAAACAGTACAGAGATAACTACGAAGATCTCTTATTCTTCTATTTTGTGGCAAGATAAATGAAGTGTCATTGTGGGGACCATATTTCTAGTTCTGTTGTGTGTATCTTGCCTTTTTTTTTTTTTCTTTTTAAAGTGAGGTACCAACCTTTATTATTGAGTAAAATCTGGTAATTTTAAAAGAGGGAACAGCCAAATAATCTGTACCTGGTATAAAAATTTGAAGAAGTTCAGCGTTTGAAATCAGCTGTGCAAACTGAAATGCTACATAACACTTAGTGAGTTCTTCTATATATGTTCAGTTATAATAAGGGTCTGACATACAGGCTAATGTGGCAGAAACACTGTTAATTGCATCAAAGTACAGTGTTTAACCTAAAATAACCAAACAAATACAGCACTAGCTAATGAAAGGAAAGGAATATGACATGGAGAAGATTTGATACCATTTTTTAGGTCAGATAGTCTTTCAAGGTCACTATATGCTGCTTTTTTGGTCTCTTTGCACTAGTAATTTTGCTCGCTTCATTGTAACTCTATTTGTCTACAGATGACCCCAAGCCAGGTCCGCCTGCAAATCCTAGAGACACTGGTAAGACTGACCTAACAGGAATTTCTGAAAAGGAGAAACGTGTTTGTTAATCTTACCTAGTCCCTTTCAAAGTTACTGTATTGCAGTCTGCTTTAGATATGTTAACTTTTTTTTTTTTTTCCTAAATTTCTCTTTTGTGTGTAGATAACCCCAAGCAAGGTCCGCCTGCAAATCCTAAAGACACTGGTAAGGCTTCTAGCACAAACTCCTGAATCATTAAATGGTTTTACTATCTCAGTTAAACTTCTAATAATTACTTCTTATTAATTAGCTGCTATGTATGTCAGATGTTGCACTGGATGAACACTGAGGATTGAGGAAAAATTGTCTTGCAAATAAGCTTTTCAGCAGCCTTGAAATTCCATAACAGACCTGTTGAGTCACTTTCATTTAAAAGTGGGATGGTGTGGGGAGGAAGAAGGATGGAACAGTGTGTGTGCTCGGGGCAATGCTGTTCTTGGCTGCCTATGGTGGAGCATTGATTCCTTTCATCTTTACAAACTGAATCCCTGCTAGTCGTGCCAAGAAGTCAGTAGGAACTACCTGTGAACTGTATTTTTAAAGCATCTAAGTTAAAGATATAGCTCAAAAGTCAAAAGGTTATTTTTTTCAGTTTTTGTTTTAAAGGCGTCAGTTAAGAAATACAATTCTTTTGGTTTTGAAAGGTGGGCTTAAAATACATGTCCTTCCCTGCCTGTTGTGCTTTGGAGGTCTTCTCTGTCTTTGCCTAACTGGGAGCAAATGTTGATGCAGCTGTGATGATGCTGTTATCCAGGAATACGGTGGTAAAGAGTCTTTACCTGAAATGCAAGCCCTGGTTCTTGTTCCTTCTCCTGCCACATTTGCAGTAGATACTTGAATTCTGGTCTTGCGTGCCTTAATACAGTGCTTTTGCACACAATTAAAACATCCTCCAATGCAGTGCTTTTAGTTTTGCTGCTTGAAACAAATTTGCTTTGCATAAATGAAAGATTCATGAGGTAGGGTCCAGTGGAAATGGAGAGGGGCTGGTTCAATGTCCTACAATAAATCAGAGGAGGGAATTACATCTGGATTTTCCCGCTGTCCAGTAAATACTGCAGCCACTGGACTGTGGCATGTGGGACTTTTTTTCTTTTTCTTTTTTTTTGTCCCTCTAGCTACTGTGTTGTACAGGCACAAAATATTGGTTGTGACTTAGAAATACAACTCTGAAGTAACATTCACAGCTGCAGCCTTGAAAAGAAACGGTCCTTTCCTGTCCATGTGCTTTCTCTGCATTAACAGGATAGTGAGACTTGGGCTGTTCCACTTAACTAGCTTACAGGGCTTCTTGCTTGCTCAGTTGTTCAGGAAGTCCAGAGGCAGCAGTGCTGCTGTCAAACTGTATGGTGCCGAGCAGAAGAGACGAGAGTGGGAGGGCTTTTGAAACATGAACGTGTTGTGACTATGACGCTGAGCCTAAAACCACCATGAACTCAGCTGAACAATCTAGAGAAAACGTCCCTATCATTATGTGCCTTGAGGTGTCTTTTTACTGAACTTAAAATAGGTAAGATAATATTATTTTTATTTTTTTATAGGCAACCTCGATGATTCAGATCTGTATGATGGCAGTTTACCAAAAGGAAGAGGCGATGGTAGTGGCAGCAATGGTAAGATAGTATGTTGTGCTTCATATTGATCCTATGGCTGTCTGAGCTTTTGATAAAAGCTTGCTCACAAGCTGGTTAACACAGTCTAACTTGTAACACCTTTGGTTCCGGTATCTGAAACTTAAGAGCATACCTTAAAATTCAAAAGCAATGTGTTCTGTCTCTGCCAAAACCCCCCAGATAATTAAGAGGTAAAACTGGTCTAGGAATCTTCAATGATTTTCACTGTTATGCTAAGAAAGGTGGGTTTTAAAACTGAGATGTGAACGTGGTGCTTATTTCAAAATTCACCACAAATATAGTTCTTAAAGGCATCCAGGTGTTATTTTCAGATCTTCTGTGACATATTCTCAGTTTCTTTTAGTTCTTGTGGTTAGGAAGCCCAAGGGTGGGCCAGAAGAGGGTCTGCTGCGTGTTCTCAAAGATTCTTTGGTCCCACAGGATGAATTGATCATTAGACTTCCAAGTGATGGTTGTTATATCTACTCTGAGCAGTATAAAACCCAAACTTGTTTTGAGTAGTCTGCCTGTCTAATTGTTATGACAGAGCTCAGTACAGAAGTGGTTATTGGGACCATGCTGCAGTAATGGTCATCATTAGGATGGGGTTAGTCATCCCTGTGTGCAACTTTACCATTTACTTTTTACCATATCCAGGTCAGTTATGTTAAGTACCTGGATGTGATGGTGAGATGTGCTGCTGGTTACTGACTTCAGAGAGTTGTCCCAGGCAGAGATTACTGATGCTCATTTTTTGGGAAGCTTTCACCTTCCAAGGTTCCTTTGGGGCAGTAACTTGAAACTTGGCAGGGGCAAGAAGCATCTGTTGAGACTTGTGTGGTGTTCTCATGTGCATAGGTTCCTGCTTCAGTGGTGCAAGTTGCACAGTGCCAAATAAGGATAGTATTTACAGAACTCTGTCTCATTTGCTAAGAGAATTGCAAAAATATTTAGTAAACGAGGCCAGGGTTTTAGGAAAAGATAGTTGGTTCCATGGAAATACAATTGAATGCTACCCTGAAATTATATGCTGTTCCTCTCCACTGAGTATTCGGTGGTGGTTGGCAAGTTCGTTAAATCAGATTGAACAGGTGTGCTGCACTCATTTTGTAGAAGTGCTGAGCACCCAAGGCTGAAGTTGGTATCACCATGAGCTGTGCTTTGAAAATAAAGTTTGAGTGCCAGAGAACTTAGCACTGTGTGGATATAATAGATCGTTTGTAGTTTTGCGTGATTAATTGACAAAAAGGTTGTCAATTAGAATGTGACTGTTCTTTAGAAGTAAAATCTAAACCTTTTAATAATTTTTACAGAACGAAAGGGTCCAAGTCCAAATAATGGTGAAGCAGCTGAGGGTAAATGCATAAATTTATGTCTATATGGTGTCTGCATATCTGAAGCTTGTTTTCTGGCTTTTTCTGTATTGCTAACATTCTGCTAGGGTGGTCACTGCTGGTAGTGGGTTTCAGCTTAAAAACTTTTGTGGAATCTAGAATTCTTACTTTCAGGCACTGCTTTCATGATTCTTTAAAATCTCTATGTTGCAAATGATTCAAAAGTGCTCGGGTCTCAAGACACTGGTACTGTGATTGCATGCATACAACTTAGATTTGGCTATGAAAGGGCAGCTTTTCTTAATTAGTGGAACTTACAACAGGCATGCTTAAGTTGTTTAACAATAGACATTGCTAAGAAATCAATGGTTATAAAATTAGAGGATTAACTTTTCATTATTCACAAAGACAAAGAGTTGATTACAACAGTTTCATGTAAATTTCAGTTTGTTGGTTTTTGGAAGTGTTCACAGGGTTTGCTTTGAGACAATACAAGTTTGACATTGCTTTCAATTCTGAAAAATGTATAAAAACCTCTTTCTTTTTTTTTTTTTCAGTTTCTGAGGGAGCAATAGCTGGAATTGTAAGTGCTGTGTTTGCTACTGTAATTGGAGCAGTATCTAGTTTCATTGCTTACCAGAAGAAGAAACTCTGTTTCAAACAAAGCGGTAAGAATTTTAAATTAGTTTTGTATTCTACTGTCTAGAGAGATGTGTTTGTTTATTTATATGGGGGCTAGAAATTGATCTTACACATAAGGTAGTTTTAATAGTACAGTGAATTTGTGTTCTCTTACTCGTAATCCAAGACAGGGTGTCGGAAGAATGCCTTGCCCAAAATTTTTAGACTTTCAGAAGCAGACAGACTTAAGGCTTTGCATTTCTTAAAATAAAAGCACTTCCTGCTAAAGAGTAAGAAGAGAGACTGTAAGGAAACATTTCATTAAGGAAAATTGACTGGAGGTTGCAGATTAGAGACTTTTCACACTGGAAAATAGCTTGTCATTGCTAATTTTGTAAATCTTGCGTTTGTGTCTTCACAAAATACTTGTCTACATATTAGGTTTCTGACAACTACGCAGATGTTGATTCCCAAATGATTCTTCTGCAGTTGTCTGTTGCTTGCTATCGACTTCCATTTCACCTAAATAAGACATAACTTGGATCAGAGAACTTGGGGAGTACTGTGGGTTATAGGTGGGACAGAAGCTTTGTTTTTGTCCTTTTTTGTCTTTCTGACTGGTTGTTGAAGGCAGGTGATAGAGCATCAATCCAGCCAGGCACTGCTGTTCTGTAATTTGAGAAGTTTGGAAACTGAGTAACATCCACCTCGCGCATTAAAATTAACACGCGGGCCACACAAAGAAAACGCAACTACTATCAGTAGGCCAGTTTCTTCAGTGCTGTTTCTTCTCTCAAATTTACCTCTATTAGTCTGGAGAGAAGGAGGCTGCGGGGAGACCATATCACTCTCTGCAACTACTTGAAAGGAGGGTATAGAGAGGTGGGGGTCAATGTCCCAAGTAACAAGCCACAGGACAAAAGGAAATGGCCTCAAGTTATGACAGGGGAGGTTTGGATTGGATACTAGGAAAAATTTGTTCACAGGAAGGGTTGTCAAGCATTGGAACAGGTTGCCCAGGGAAGTGGTGGAGTTGCCATCCTTGAAGGTATTTAAAAGACGGGTAGATGTAGTTCTGAGGGACGTGGTTTAGTGGTGGTGTTGGCAGTGTTAGGTTGATGGTTGGACTAGATGATCTTAAAGGTCCCTTCCAACCTAGACAATTCTATGATTCTATCAATCAACAACTTCGAAGACAAGAGAATTTGAATGCTAAACATCATTGTTTCCCAGCAGATGAAGAGAATGTGAATATGGAAAGCCATCGGGGAGCACAATCTGAGCCACCTGGTAAGAGAAGAATCTAGATGGAAGATCAACGTTTTGGTGGGGATCCTATTAAATGCACTTTATTGACATCTAACATAGTGGAGAAAATTACTTGCACTGTTTTGTTTTTTTTTTACAAAAAAAAATTTAACTACCATGACAATGAACTTAGAACCGAATCAAGATTTCAGTGCTGATAACATGGCTACTCTTCCCTATTTTTTTATTCTTTGAACAGATTGGTTTATTGCCTTGAGGAATCCTTGAAATACAGGACTTTAGAGAAAGTAAAGAATTGAATTTCCTCTGCAAATGTATTATAAAAGACAATTATGAAAACACAAGCCTGCTCATTTAGTGTCGTACATAACTGCAGTTAGCTGACAGGTGTTTTATTAGCATATGTTGTGTCTGACTGGAATCTGATACCTTTTTTGATTGTAAACCTATATAGAACTCCGCAAGAATGCATATTAAAAAATGTTAATAGTGTTTGGGCAGAGATGAAACTACACTGGAAGCAAGGAGGAATTAGCTTTATACTTTATTTCTTTCAGGTATTTCATCAGTTTGCTAAAAGATTCCATCTGGCTCATGACCCTCTTTATAAACATTTTTCTTTTTAGCTGTTAAATATATAAAACTCTCTTTCTTATGACTGGCTGTTGAAGTCAGAAATGGAGATAGGCACATATCCTCAATTCAGCTATGCATTAGTGAAGCAAGCAGTATTGTTCAAAGACGTCTACCAAAGGCAATTAACATATGAGTTGGAGTCAGGATATGCTAGAATTTTGGCCAAGAAACTGGCCAAACTCAGTGTCAAGTGCATCAAGTGACATACTTTATTTTAACTGATAAAGTCAAACCTGGGGTGTTATCGTAAATGATTACTCCTGCCCACATATTGATGTCATGTTAAATCCCAAATTTCATATTTTGCAGGCAAGCATGAGTATGTTTTAAGCCAAGAAGCTGGGCCACCATGGTCAGCATGGTGCTACTCCTGATCCAAGTTCTGGGAGTCAGCAGACGTTAGCTCTGCTTTTGATAGTACGGTGTTGATGTGTCTTACAGGGCTTCTAGTTAGAAGCAGTCTTGCATTAGGCCAGGTCAGATGGCATGGCAGAACAGGTTTGCGTTTTTAAAATTTTATGTAGGCTTATCTTTGACTTCCTGAAAATGTAGATAACTGAGGCTAGCACTTTCTTTCAATAACCCACGGTTTCCATCAGCTATGCAGACTCTACTCCGTTTCATTTTTGCATCCACAAAACTGCAAGTCTGAAACTGCGTGTTGGGCTAAACGGCAAGTGTAGATAGTTACATGCATCTAGTAGGATGTGGTTATTTGAGTGAGAAATCTGGGATGTAATATCCCTTGGTATGCAAGGTACTGGCTACACAGAATCAAGCCTCTGCTTACCTGAATACTGTGGGATAACACAGTTTCAAATGCCTACTGAAGATATCTGTTGTCCACATATACTGTTACATAGTAATACATGACTTCAAATGTATACTAACTCAGTGTACTAATCTTAAGTCGTTTTTTGCTTTTTAGTTCAGCGCACACTTCTGGAGAATTAAATTAAAGAAAACACGATGAAGAACAGACCATTGAAACTGGATAGAGAGCCTGCATTCTGCCTGAAAGAAAAAAAAAGCAAAAAAAAAAAAGCATAATTGAAAAGCAGAGTCTGAAGTTGCATGAGAAAACAGTTCTTGTTTGAAACACCTCTAGGAGTGTGACTTAGACCTGAATACTTCTGTATGGTTAGCCCTGTGAAGCATTGTTGCACACCAGTATATGGCCTTAATGACAGGAGCGTAGAAGTATGTGGTGCCTTTACATTCTTTCCTGTACGAATGGGTGTGTCCCAAGTGCATTCAGTATGTTAAACTTTTCCTTACCTCTCTAAAAACAATAAGCAATTAATGTTTTATTAAACCATTGCTTTCAGGCAGTGCAAACATTTTTCTAATATCCTGTACGCAGTGAGTGTAGCAGCCAAACAACTTGGTATATGGTGTGGGCACCTGAAAGCAAATGGCTCACTGTGTGTGGATAATGGATCTGGGTGTGGGTGCTGCTGGTACAATCTGTGTAGCTGCCTGGCTCAGCCAGCACAGAAGAGATACTTGTTCTTGAGCATCTGAGACAAAAATTCAGAGTTCTGTTTTTGCATTTTTTTTGTTGCATCTGTCTGGTACAGATTCAGAACACCCAAGCTAGTGCAGCACACCTAAACTAGTGCATGCAGACCCTTCATCCTTCCTGACTCTTCCTGCTTAGCAAGTACTGAGCTGGTCAGGTGTGGAAAAGCCTGACTTGCAAATCAGAACCACAACTGGATTTTGTACATCTGGTGAGATTAACGTTTGGCAGTTGTCTGAACAGCTGTGGATGAAGCACTGGGGAGTAGGAATTAACATCTTCAGACTTCCATAACCAAAAATTTAAAAGAAAATACTGTTATATTTTGAATTAGGAAGGCTTATCGTAAACACTTAAAAGACAAAAATAATACTATAATTTGAAAGTACATAATTGCAAGACTGACTAGAACAACTGAGCCTCACTCCACAAGCATCCATTGAACAGTATAAATAGCATACGTGTAAAGAATGCTTTTGGATTTGTGAAGGATTGCTATCGGGATGAGGACCATCCTCAACTGAAAGCACTTCTGAGCTTTGCTGTTGCTCTTGAAAGCCACAGGGAGGTTTCAAGGATCTGTGGAAACATGGAAGACTGCAACTCATAACAGTTAAAGGACTAAATCTGGAATAATAACTAGTTCTGTCTGGAAGAAATAGTCTGACCAGTTCTGTTGGCTTTCATTCTAATTGCTTCCAATTTTCATGCAATTTTACAATATGTGTCTTACTAATGTGCTTCAGCCACCCGGCAAAGTTCTACACAAAGATGGTATTTTCATGGGACATCTTAGAAGTTATTATGAATTTGGATATTAAACATGTAAATATATCTGTGCATTCAAATATGAATGTATGCCAAGAATAATTCATTTAAGAATTTCTTGTACATGTTTCTTAGCTTGCGATGAAGCTTTACATAGATTTTAGTATTTTGTTATGGAATTAATTTGTAAACCTCTTTTTTGCCCCACTTCTGCTTTTAGTATAAAAGTGCTAAAACCTTTACCTGTGTTTGAGGGTGGAAAATTGATTTTTATATAAACATTTGACCTCTGTAAATACAAAGAAATGAAATGACTACTTACCTGCATGAATAATCAGGTTTCTCGTATCAATGCCAAGTGTAGAGAAGACAGAAATAAGCCAGTGTTTATTAGGGATAGAATGGCAAAGGAAGCTTAAACTAGCTTTTAGCTAACCAGACTCTTGGATCATTTTTTCAGCTTTTGCAAGCCTAAAAATTACTTATTAAAACCTCCTATCAACATTGTGATTTTTCTAAAAATAAATTAATAAAAAGAAAAGAAAATGTTTATGTATTTTCCTTCTTAGTAGCTCTAGAAATACAGAAATGTTGGTGCTCTACCAGAGAAGCAGTCTTCAAAGGGAATTTGTCTTCCCGTTCCATCAGCAATTCACGCTTATTTCTTACAGACATTTTGATCGTTTTAGAAGGAAGTTGGCCAGTAGCAGCAAAACTGCGAGCTGCTTTCACAGGGTGCTTACCAATGTGAAGTGCAGAGAAGACATCTATCTCTGTGAAGGACAGGCATGGCTTTTGAAGAACACCACCTGGGTTTGGTAACACAGAATCTACTGAAAATATGCCCGGCAATAGAAAGCTTAGTATGGGCAAACTTAACTATCTTTGTGTTGAGAAGGAACAAAGACTGGCTGCTGCCACATAGGAAGAAAAGGTTAAAGAGAATGCTTGAAATTTCAGGCTGTTCTTGTGTAGTGAGCAAGAAACTGCCAGTTTATGGGTTTCTGTTACTTTTCTGTGGATAAAATGTAGCAGTTCACTTTTTTTCAGTTGTCAGGGTATTAATTCCTATGTTGCTGTTTGCCTCACGACCCATTGAGACTTTGATCTGGTGCCTTCCTAACTCAACTGCTCTTGCATTGCATAACTAAATAGCCGAATTCATTATTTCTCACATTCATTGGGTCAAGAAACATTATCAGTTAACAGTTACTCATCACCCTGTGGAAGTATTTTTATGATTACCTCCCATGGATCAGCTGCTCATCATGGCCTTATGGGCTGTCAGTGACTTTCAGATCCCAATTTGGGAATTAACGTTCTAGTTTCCATACAGGTTTCAATCAGACTGTGCAGTGGAGTGAAAAATTACTGTCCTTTCCAGGCCAAAACTGCAAGTTCACAGCTGGTGGGGTACCTTCACTGTTAAACTGAGTTTAAATGCATGGCAACAAGGAGCTCTGTCCTGGTCCTGTGGCACATCCTCTTCAGTTCTGGTTTTTTTGCTAGTCTACCTCCTTTTGAGGAGGAGGAGTTACCTTCAATAATAGGAGGAAAAAAAACAAAGCAGGATCTTCTTGTAGAATGCCGTGTCACTTTAGCTTCTACAAGGGAGCTGAGGTGGCAGTTTAGTTCATCCCAAGTATCAGTGAAAAGGACTGCTTGAAAAATGTTTTGAAGGCTTTCAAATGTGATGTCCATTTCAAATGCTTATCTAAACTTATCCAAACAAATGAATCGGGCTGTGGAAATGAAAGCAGGAGATTCTTAAGTATAAAATTTGGCAGCTTTTTATTGTAGCTCCTATTCATGGTCATTTCAATATCTGTGCCAGATTTTGAATGCTAAGGAGAACTCTTTCTAGTGCATTCAGCTTTCAGAGTACCTTGGGCTGAATTGCACTCCCAATCGCGCATTTCGGTATTTTTCTCGCTAATTATTTTAGGCCGTTATCTAAACTGTACTATTCTCTGTGTGTTTTTCACTTGACAAGATTATGAAACAAACCTTAACCTTTTCATAAACTGTAAAGATTATTTTCTTTTTGCTCTTTTCGATTACACGGATATAAAAGACACATTTGAAAGAAAGTGAAGAGATGAAGAGGAACAG